CCCCAAAACCCCAAAACCCCAAAACCCCAGTGAGGATTAAAAAAGTATAGGGATTGGAGTGAGAATAGATTCATTAAGAATTTAAAGGATTCTAGATACTGTTTGATAATTTGTAAATAAAGTTTAAATACTTGCTATAATATGTTAGTTGAGTGATTCGTATCCATATTTTTAAACTTTCTCAGATTTTAGCGGCTTCTGAGACAACAGCATCTGCTGCTGAATCGAAGTCTCTATTAACAATAACATTAATTTTTCCTTTGTTTTTCTCGGCAAAATCATTCATAAGTGTGAAAGCCTTGTCTGCATTTGTTCCTGTAAGTCTAACAACGATTGGTATCTTTACTTCTACTAATTAAGCTGCCTTGATGATTCCCTCAGCAATAACATCGCATTTCATGATACCTCCGAAGATGTTAACAAAGATGGCCTTAACTTATGGGTGTTGACTTAGAATCTCAAAGGCAGTCTTTACTTGATCAGTTGAGGCGCTTCCACCAACATCAAGGAAGTTAGCAGGGCTTCCTCCTTTTTAAGAAATTATATCCATAGTAGCCATAGCGAGACCAGCACCATTAACCATGCATCCGATGTTACCATCGAGGGCGATATAATTAAGTCCAGCTGCAACAGCTTTTTCTTCATTAGGGTCAACATCAGCGCTAGAGGCGCTTTGTGTGTGCATCTCAACAATGTCTTAATGTCTGAACAAAGCGTTATCGTCAATGTTAATTTTTGCATCTACACAATACAGATCAAGATCTGGAGTTATAGCCCATGGATTAATTTCAATTTGAGTAGCATCTAACTTGAGGAACATGTTATATAACTTTTAAAGTTGCTCAATTGCTTAAGTTTTAGTCTTTCCTTCAAGTTTAAGTGATTCTGCAATTTTCAGGGCATCTTGCTCGCTGAATCCCTTTCTAATATCAATTGTGTGAACTTAAATGGCGTCTGGATCTGAATGAGCAACTTCTTCAATATCCATACCTCCCTTGGTGCTGCTAACAACACATAAGCCTTGATTCTTTCTATCGTGCAAGAATGCTAAATAAATCTGTCCATCAATATCAACTCCCTCATGGACGAGGACTGATTTAACTAATAATCCTTGTGGGGGAGTTTGATGAGTAATGAGATTGTATCCGATCATTTAATCTGTCTTCTAGGCAACTTCCTCTGGGGTTTTGCAAATTTAGACTCCACCCTTGAGTCCACTGGTGAGATGACCCTTACCTCTGCCTCCTGCTTTAACTTAAGCCTTTAGAATGAGACCACCTTTTGCACTAAGTTTGCTGGCTACTTGAAGAGCCTCTTTGCCATTCTTTGCTAGTTCACCTTTCTATACGTTAACTCCGAACTATCCCATAATATATTTGGATTAGTACTCATGAAGATCAAAGAATCTCTTTTGTGTGCTTAATAGAGAACTCTTTGAGCCGAAGACTGATTGATGACTTTAAGCAAAATGGCGAGACTTTAAAAGATTTTTTCCGAAAGATGATATCATACTTTTCTGTGTCGATAGTTTATTTAAACCACAAATAATTATTATTAAGCAAAGTTTTAATTGATTAGCGCTTTAGAAATAGAATAGTGCTGAATTATGAAATATACAACTTTCTCATGAACCCTTAATAAACTATCATGGGGTTTTGGGGTTTTGGGGTTTTGGGGTTTTGGGG